CCCCCCCCCCCCCCCCCCCCCAAACATTCCATGCTCCTACGATATAGTTTCTTTTTAATGAAAACAAAGTTATTCTTGTTTTTCCTGGCGGCTCAATATTGACACTATCTTTGATTAATAATTTGATTTGGCTTTCTGTAGGTGTGAGCTATTCAATACAAGTCTTGACCAATATGTAAGGAGCATATCATAGAAATCAAAGGTAGCTGACTGCTCTGCCATTTTTGTTTCATTCAAGTTGTCAAATGTTTTCTGTCTCTTGTTGATGAATGAATGCGATTTATTGAACAATGGTACAGGTGCAGGGCATTAGAACCTCCTTGTCGAAAAATTCCTACCTGGGAGTTTATTTTTTATTCCATTGGTTGGACTCAAGATAAGTGCACCGGCATGAATTATTCAAGTTTTTTTTTCTTTTCGTTTCATGTTTTTTTTTTCCCATCATTTTTGTGGTGACTTATGGTGTTGCGATAGTGGTCGAAAGTTGTTAAAAAAAAAAAGAATTATATTATTTGCAGCAATGCAGCTATGTTTCTTGTTTCATCTACCCACATACCATACATTAGGAGTCCTTTGTGTAAAAATGTAAAGGTTTCAAACGGAGAAGATTATGTTAGTTACCTTCTTAACCGCTTTCACCTTTCCATTATCTCTTCATCAATATCTTGTTATTTGTTTCAACCTTATTATGCACCTCCATTAAATAATGCAAGTTTCTTTGTCCTTTTTGAGATTTTGATATTTGTCAAGTATCTAGGCCAACTTGTATACACCTCAACTAATCTTAGAAGACAATTGCCTAATCTTATTACATTTAGTTGTCCAGGAAACTCATTGGATATTGATTCCTAGGTTGGTGACTACCTTTGGTGACTACCTTAGCATGAAACTATTTTGTCTAAGCCATTGACTGTTTATTACTACCCTCATTGATCAACAAGCCAACCACACGGTGGTTTAGGAAGTTTGCCATAGTGTAACTCTTCCTTTGGGTTCCCAAGTCATTAGGAATAGATTTTGGTCCCTTCAAGGTTGATAGACCTCTATCTCTTGGTTCAACTATCAACTTTATCTCTCCTGATATTGATCACTCTGTCTCCCATTGAAGTTGTGAAGTTAATAGGATTCCCAATGAGGGATACGCCAACTTAAGGAAGGAAAATCAAGGTCAAATTTGAGGCCCCCATAGTTTGTTGACGCATTAATTCTGTATTGTGCTATGCCCATGGCTGTTGTGTTGCACTGCTGTGGCAATGGAAGCTAGATCTCTTTCAGTACTATAATTTCGTAACGTGTTTGTTTGGGCTAAAAAAAGATGTCAATGTACAACCATCATCCATTAGGTATACAATGTCGGTTAGCAACTAACATAGCAGAAAACCATCCTCATATGTTTACGATGACACTGGATTTGAAGTCAATAGTGAAGTGTCGATGCATAGGTTGATGGCATGCTTTTGTTTGGTTGTTTTAAATTGTATCATTGTACAAAGTGCATTGTTATTTTTGTATAGGATTGTATCATAACTAAAATAACATTTTCATTGTATCATAAAAGTATTAATAAAATATTACTAATACTAAAAAAATGGTAATTTTGTGGGTGTTTTGATTTGAATGGGGATAGTTACTTGTTAGTGATGATTGAAATGGGAAGATGTTTGAGAGACTGAGACTGAGAGAAAATGACAAAGGGAAAGACTGCAGACTGAGATGGAATACATTGACAGACAGTGAAGAAAGGGAGAAAGGATTCCCCTTTTCCCTCTCTTTTGGTTAATAGTTGGAGTTTGCATCAGACAAAATCCAGATTTCTTTTGAAATTGGTTCATAATAATTATGACCCTTTTCACCCTTTTCATATTCCAACCCTCAAAACCAAACCCATTTCTTCTCTTCTTCTTCTTCTTCTTCTTCTTCATGGCATCACCCAAAAATTTCCCCCTTTACAAACAAAACTCACAAATTTATATTCTTTCGTTTCACTGTTCTTCCTCTTCTGGGTTGCTCTCAAATCCCTTCTTCTTTGCTTTCTCTGAAAGAAAAATCTGCCAAAATGAAAAGAAGAAACCCAAATCATCATCAGTTTTGGTTATTTCAAGCTCTGTGTTACATAATCAATGGTGGAACTGGGAATGAGTAGTATACCTTTACAAGATAGACTTCTTGACCTTTCTTGTGAGGCTGCTGTTTCTGACCTTGAGAACAATAAAGGTTTCTCTGACCACGAAAATAAATTCAACATTAGTGGCATTTTCGCGGTTTGAATTCTTGGTTCGCTATAATTTTGTTCTAAAGAGTTGGTTTTTACCTGTGGATGCGTTGAAGGATCTTTTACAGTGTAAAATGGCGCTTTGAATCCCGTCGTGTTGCTGCAACAACGAATCATCTCTTCGGTTCAACGGGGGCGCCACCGCCAATCCACCGGACGCCGACGCCGATTTGCTCTTACCCAGATGCTTACAGACCAACCGAATCCCCGCCGGCAGGCCATTATCGTGCTTGTCCCTCGCCGGAGAATCCACTGTCGTCGACAGATTGTCGCTGTAGCCGGTGGGTTTCTTCAGAACCTTTGGCTTAATCAGCCTCAAATACTTCTGTACCGCCTCCTTCGAGAACCGTCTCGCTGTTGCCGTCGTTGTCGCCGGATCCTCACAAGGGTCGGCTGGAAAAATACCTCCGATTCTCCTGGTGCTGTTGTCTCTGGAAAGATTCGAGCTCAAAACTCTGCGTTCTACTTGTTCTGTTCCGCCGGACGCTCTGTTTTTGGCCATTGATCTCTGTTTGTTGAAGATGGAAACAGGGAACTTGGGGGCCGATTTGAGAAGCTGAATAGGGGAGTGGGGCTTGGAAGTGGGTTCGATTGGAAGAATCTTCCGTTTGGAAATGGAATCGGAACAGAGGTTTATGTGTTCGCCTAGTTTGGTGGGAATTTGAGGTGTCTGTTCTGGGCTGTGAATATCGCCGGCAGAAACAGAGAGAAACTCGAGATCGAAGAACGAATCTTCCTCTTCTTCTCCATCTTGTTCTCGTTTCTGCTGTTCATCGGCGACGGAAAGTTTGAACAGCCTGCGAAAGGCGAGGGAATCCATGGTGGGAGGAGAGAGGAGAGGGGTAAAAATGGTGGGGTTTTGGTGGGTTTTATAAAGAGAGATTTGGGGTTAGTTTCCTCAATGGAGGGATTTTGGTTTACAGTAATTGGAATTGAAAATGTAGTTTGGCAACTTTAAGAACAAACAGAGGATGATGTAAGCCTTTTTTCTTTTTTCCTTTTCTTTTTCTACCAATATTCTTTTTAAAGTCTCCCAATGCTTTTTAGTTTTTTTTTTTTTTTTTTTGAAATTTTATTATGATATCTTTTAATATGTGAATGGTAAAACTTCACTTTGAAACCGTACTAGATAAAGTTTTACAAACGGTGTTTATGCTCGTCCAAGATGTGTTGTCCATGGCCGCACATCTATATCATGCCAAATCCTTTACTTGATTTCACGTTGTATTGCTTTTACTAGTGTATTTTATGTTTCTATGAAGCTAAATCATGTCATGTCTATGAAATCGAAGGATTCGACCAGTCGTCAACTCCTCACACTTAGATTTTATATGACTGTTCGATTAAATCACGTTTAAGGCTGACCTAAATCGTCTCAAAATGTATTATAGGGGATGCAACTAGTCAATTTTTACTACTCGAGTTATATGATATTTAAGCAATGTTGTTTATTTCTTTACTTATAGCCATATAAGACTCTCAAACCTTCTTTCAACCTTGTTTTCAAATTCCCTTTCAAAATTTTCTTTGTTTTTTCTAAAACCTTCTCAAAACGGGGACAAAGGCTGGAGCATACATGGCTCTGGTCGTAGGTGATACAAATCCAAATTAGCTTGATTTATTTAGGGTTGAGAGTGAGTATCGCATCATCTTAGCTTGATTCATTTAGAGTTGAGAGTGAGTATCGCATAATTGCAAAACTCTTGCTACTAAGAAAAGTGCGATTGTGACACACAGAATATATGGTGAATGGTGCGCAGGGACATAGAGGGGGAGGGGCCTTTTTTGGTTGAAAACCATAGTGAGGGCTCTGCATGGTGTCACAACCTCACCGAGAAAAAATAGGCACTTAACTTCAAACCAATTAGCCAAACCGCTCCCAAATGATTATGAATCGAGACCGAAACTCATAATTTAATATGACTTTAAATAATGGAGGCAATGGTTTAAGAGTGAGAAAACATGACCCAATGGTTCAGAGAGAGAGGTGAGTCTACAAAGCTGGAAGCTCAGAATGAGCAGTCAGAACACACGGTCTTCGTCGCCCCATTTTCATTTCGTAATCTCACGCGCCCCATTTTCCACGCTCCTTTTATTCTTTTAAATATTCAACAATATATCATTTTCTTTCTGTTTCTTTTCCCTTTTATTTAAATCTAAAATTATTAATTTAATCAACTTCCCTTAATTTTATTTTTTAATTATAATCAGATATTTCAAGTCACTTTTATACCTAAATTAAATTATATTTTTTTTAATCAGTTGTCGGAAAAGGAATGATAGAATTGGATAAAAGAAAAATAAATAAATTAAAAAACTTCAATTTTTCAAAGTCAATTTGATAACATCACCTACTCAACTCCAACTCTAATTATTCTCTCCAAAGTTGCTATTTTTTAAAACATTATACATGTCAGGTATTGTAAGTTATACCTAAATTTAATCATTGTTCTTCATAAAATATGATTTTAATTTGTTATTATTTCACCGATTCAATTAGTTTATTCAAATAAACTCAACCAACTCATTAACTCGACATATCATAATCTAGAGTTTGAAACAGTTGTTTCAACAATGATCACATGACATATAATAGCTCGAGTAATACGCTGCCCAGACAACGATTTTAAGTCAACGTCGTATTTCTATGTGTCTGAGTCAAAGTCTAATAAAATCTTGCAAGTTGCAACTCTTTAGTTTGAATGTGTAAGAGTTCAAGTCCACCGCTATCGTTATGGGTTTCTTTGGACTTTCCCGGCTTTTTTTTTCGGACTTTCTCTCAAGGTTTTAAAACACGTCTAATAGGAAGAGGTTTTCACAGCTATATGAGCCCTAAAAAGTGTAAAAGAATAGGAATTAGGTTCTTTACGACAAGGAACTTCCAAAAAATAAGGAAAGAGAGAGAAAAGGGCATCCCATCCCACAAGCAACCCTTGCATTCCTCACCTTCCCCCATACAACACATCAATGGAGATTTAAAGCATTTGCTTTAAAGGATACAAAAACCATCCCTTAAATAACACCCCCATCACTTGAAGTAAAGCTCGAATGATATCTATTTGTAGTGAGTTTAGACTGGTACAAATGGTATAAGAGCTAGACAACGAGTGTTGTGTTAACGAGAACGTTGGACCCCTTTTACCCAAAAGGAGATGAATTGTGAGATCACATATTTAAGGGTGTAGAACCTCTCCTTATTGAATGCGTTTTAAAACCTGGAAGGGAAGTCAAGAAGTGAAAACCTATCTCTTTCTAGTAAACGCGTTTTAAAACTTTGAAGAGAAGCCCGAAAGGAAAACCCACCAAACCCATAAAAGATAATATCTACTAACAGTGAGCTTGAGCTATTATAGATCACTTGTTTTAACGAAG